GCCTGAAACCTCCAAAGCTGTGAGCCAGAATAGACTTTTCTCCTTTAAGTTGGCTTTTCTGAGCTGCTTGCCATAGTAACAGAAAGATGAGTAACGTATTGGGAATTAATACAGTAATTGTAACAATCATGAAAATGAATGGTTTTTAATAGTGAAAAGTGGGGCCAGGGAGATGGCTCATGGGCCAGGGAGATGGCTCAGTGGAATAAGCACTTCCCTGGCAAGCACAAGGGTCTGAGTTCAATCCCAGGTTCCGCCAAAAACAAACAAACAAACAAAAAAAGTGAAAAGTGATAGACTGGAAACAATGAAAGACCAGATATGACTGACCATCAAAGGCCAAAGGCAGTATCTAATAAGCCTTTCAGGAAGTGTTTAACTAGATTGTTTTCATTCTCAATAGTGAAAAAGTAGACAAAACATCTTAAGAACAAAGTCATAAACTTCGTCATAAGCATAAGGATCCCTAAAAACAGACCTTTTATACCATTGCAGGACATTGGCTGGGAAAGACTAGTACTGAGATAGAGCGGGAGAAATCTAGGCGTCAAAAGCCTATTTTCTCTTGAATCCTCAGCCTACATAAAGGGACCACTCCTCCCCATTAGGAAGTAGTATTTCTCCCTCCCTTCATTTTAAATACATTTCAGTGGCCTCTGCCTCACCAGACAACCCATACATACTTCTAACCATTGCGAAAAGAACCTGAGTTGTGTTACTCCATGTGGTAGACAGCCTCCAAGATGACCCGTGTCACCCACACGTCCAGGAGTTTGTGCCTTGGAACGGGGCACAATCAAAAACTTCAGAAGTCACATGATTGCTTTTAAATCAAAAGGCATTTAGTTCTAATCATGGGCTTAGATTGGTCACTTCTGATGGGAATGAACAGCCATTATTGTGAGGCTGCCATTTCCTAGGGGATAGTCAAGAGTTAATATGAATCCAAAGTAATGGAGCCCAGATGGTGGGAAAGGCATGAACAGCTTTTCTAACAAATGCTAAGTATGGAGTGGGGTCCTTGATCCATAAGGGATGATTGGCAAAACATAGTTTCCTTGATGCAAAGTAGATGGACAGCCAATGAGGGTACTGCTCAAGCCAACCAGAATAAAGGATTAATGGTTCATCAGGCACCTGAGGACAGGCACCTAATACATATTTGTGGTTTCCCCCCTAGTTTCTGGTTTTCAGAGCTTAAATCTATTGACAGAAGAAGGGATTGATTGCTAAATGGAAGAAGCATCCTGAAACACCACAGCAACATGGATGATGATTACCCTAGGCTTTTTGTGAAGAGAAGCTATTTGCTTGAGTAACCATCTCTCAGGGGTGTGATCCTGCCATGAGCAGTGCAGCCAGTGGAGTCCTGAGAGGGGGTTATAGGAGGTTAAGAAAAAACAAGGCACATAATAAAAGGAAAGATGGGGCTGGGTGAGATGCAACCTCTTTGACAGACCGGGATGACCAAGCATGGTCTGCGTCTTTACTTATATACGGTAAAAAGGGAGGAAGCACTCAACAGGGCCAAAAGTGCACAGGCTCAGTATTTTGCTGAAAACATGGAAAGCAAAATATTTTTAGAGCTATCTGTGCTGTAATAGGGAGGAACACTGTGGTGGATTGCTAGTTGGTGGTCAACTTGTTATATCCAGCTGAACTAGTGTGGTGCTGGGTGTGGGAGGCCCACCTGAGGATTGTTGCCAGCAGCATAAGGGGCAGAACTGGAGAAGAAGAGAGAGGCTGTTAGGGAAGCTGTTGGAGCTGTTGGAGGCTGCTGGTTCTCCTGGGCTATTCTGCTGGAGGACCTTGTCATGCTGGCTTTCCTGATGAACTTGGCTGTTCTTTTTTTTTTTTTTTTTTTTTTTTCTGTATTTAGGACAGAGTCTACAGGGTTTCACTACATTCTCCTGTTTTCAGCCTCCCAAGTGCTGGGATAACAGGTGCACGCCACCACGCTCAGTCTCAATTGCCATCTCAGTGTGCCCCACAGGCGGGACCTGCATGGCACTCTGGGGATCGAACCCCGGCCACTGTGCTCTGCGTAAACAGGCACTTTAATCCACTGAGCTATTAGGCCAGCCCTCTGACTTGGCTGTTCTTGTCACTAGAGGAGCTCAGGACCTTCATTGTTGCTGAGAATGGCTGTGATTTCATTTTGGGGGAGCTCTGGTCCTCATCTTGAGCATCACTTCCTGGCTCTAGAGGAGAAGATGGTACACTGCCTAGCCTTGTGGAGAAGCTTGTCACATTGGAACTTGGTATTCCTCATCGCTGGAGGAGCTCAGGACCTCACTGTTGCTGAGGGCAGCTGTGGTACTTGTGGGGGAACTCTGGTGTTCACCATGAGTGTTGCTTCCTGATTCCAGTGCAGATCCCTCAGCCTGCTAGCACACATCTTCATCCCGCTGGCACAGACTTTCTAGCTTCCTCCACTGACTCTTGGATCTTTCCAGCACAGATCTGTGAAGAGGGCCTTCGTGAGACATTGTGATGAGCTCTAGGCCTTCAGTTTGACTTGTGGGAAGCATTGTTATGAGCTCTAAGTCTTTAGCTGGACTTATGCAGGACACAACTATCAGGATCCAGGCCTCAGCTGGATTCCTTTGTCTTTAGTGTGTGGACAGAGTTCCTGCACTCTTTGTGTATGATTCTTTAGTTGATTGATTATAAAATAATCTTACAAAATGTGTCTGTATTGTATTGTTCCCCTGGCAAAAACCCCAAACCATGACAAACAGCAAGGCTGGATACATGTTGATATGGCACTAAGCTAGAGATCAACTTGTTTACACCATCTGTCCCTAGCAGCACATGTCCCCAGGACTGGCTTTGCTCTAGTCCCAACAACTTGTTCACATGCCTGACGCACCATGTTTTGGGGACTGGCCATACTCTAGCCCCAAATGTGTGGTCAGTCTCCAGCCCAGCTGCTTCCCCAACCTCCTAGTCTCTTTGTTAAAGCAGAAATATGTGTCGATTAGGCCTGGATCCACCTGGTGGGCATTTATACAGTTGTCCAATATATGATTGGAAAAAACGTGGTAGTTGCTATAGCCTCTGAATTGACTTCTTGGCCTCTGAGGAGGACCTGCTAACTATGAAAGGCCAAGTGGAATCTTTTGAAACTGCCTGTCTACACTGCCCAAGGTGGTAAATCACAAAGAATTATCTCATTCTGCAGGAAATGGCAGAGATCAGTGATACCTTTAAAGACAATAAACAGTTCTTTCAAATCACTGCTCTGGTGCTTGTGCATACATAAAAAAATCTATCCAGATGGATTTTGAAGACCAGGTGGATCTATTACAGACTCAGACTCATTTGCAATTACTGTTTCAGATGGGGCTTTAGTAGGACATTAACACAGTTGAAGGACATGATACAGGACCACTGATTTGGGGGAAAAATTGTTTCCATCTCTATCAGAAATAAGTACCAACAATTATTTTTATTCCTTTGAGATGAACAAACTTGTCCCGGGATATAAAAATTTCCTGTTTCTGTCTTAATATAATCTTGAAAGAACCTGGACAGGCTGTTTATCTTGTGAAACATCATTCTAGCCTAGGATGTCCTTCTAGACTCAAGGACAAATGATTGTATTTTATACCTCTCACCAGGAAAAAGAAATAATAATGCCTGGCAGACTGCTTTGAGCTTTGAAAGTGACATAGTCTATATGTTGGAATGCTGATCTGACCCCTATCTCAAGTGACACTAAGGCTTCACACTTTGAGTGGAGAACCAATCAGGAAAGGCTTTGCAGTAGATCCAGGCTGTGGAGCAAGAAGGTCCTGGTGCTTGGGTATTGTTATACCTGGGTATTTGTGTCATGCTGGGAAAATAAGCATATCATGTTGATTGCATGCTTAAGCCTCAATAGGAGAATAACAATGAAGTCCTCTAGAGTTCTGGATCAAGGCTATTCCATCAGCCCCTGAAGCAAAGACTATCTTCAGAATTAATCACTGACATGCTATGGACCCTTGGTAACCAAGATGAAGCAACTAATTATGGGACACCAAGTAGCCATGTGTCCAGGCCTGACCATCAGGAGCTGAATTCCATTGGACCCCCCAAGTCCATAGGACAGCAGCAGCCCACTATGGAAAGGCCTTAGTGACTGAACAGAATGGATGTACCTGAGCAATCCATGTGAGCAGGGAGTCCAGGTTCTCATGTCATGGCCAAGGTTGTGGGAGTGCTTCTCCCTCAGCTCCCTTGGGTATGGCAAGTGGGGAATCTATCTTAACCAACTCATGGAGAAGGAAGAGGCTTGATTTTAACTCACAGGTAGCTCAGCTTGTTAGATAAATGAAAGCCAGACATTACTGGCAGCTACAATCATGACACAGAGATAGTCTTAAAAAACTAGGGCAGGGGCTCTTCTCAGAGGACAAATCTTCAGATCATAAACTTTGCTCATCTACTTTGTATAAAGTGACCCAACACTACACACCTCAAAGGCAATGGTAGTTGTCCTGGACAATTAATTTGGAGGCCTAAAAGGAGAAATACAAGAAGACGGGGCAAGGAATTCTATGAGAGACATGTAATGGAACCATGAGAATGAGAACGGGGTGAAGGTCTTTGTAAATCATGTTAGCACTCACCAGAAATGACCTTAAAGCACCAAAGCCCAGTGGTAAGTATCCTTAAGGAGAGAAGCCAGTCCCTTGGTAACCAGATGAGTTCACTGCACCCTCTTCATCCTGAGAGGGGCTTCATCTTGGATTCAAATGTATTACAGGGATATTTTTGCCTCCCCTGCTTATGAATCCTAGCCTGTTCCACACAGCCAGCCCTATGCCTGCATCCTAAGATGGAGGATTTGGTCCACTCAGATGGGATCTGACAAAGTGTCATGTCATACCAGGGTCCTGGCTTTGCAGCAAAGAAGGCATAGTGGTGAAATTACGACCATGAGATTCACTGGTCTATCACGTATATCCGATGCTGTCAACACCAAGGGAAAAATGAAATGTCTGGATCAAGGCATATTTGAAGTGACTGCTCAAAGAGAAGAATTGATGGGAATGAAGTGCCATTCTGCAGGATGCAGTAAACTCACTAAATCAGTGGCTGACTTAAGAGAAAAAACATTTTCACCAGGTGTGGTGGCACACTTCTAATCCCAGCACTCTGAAGGCTGAGGCAGGAAGATTGCTGAGTTCAAGGCCAACCTGGGCTACAAAATGAGTTTAGGACCAGCCTGAACTATATAGTGTGACCCTGTCTCAAAAAAAAAAAAAAAAAAAGAAAGAAAAAGAAAAAGAGCTGGCCTGATAGCTCAGCGGACTAAAGCACCTGCTTAGGCAGAGCGCAGCAGCCGGGGTTCAATCTCCGGCATGCTATGCTGGCCCTGCCCCTTGGAGCATGCTGAGACGTTGATTGAGATTGGGCATAGTGATGGGCACCTGTAATCCCAGTGCTTGGGAAGCTGAAAACAGGAGGATCACTACGAGTCCAATCGGTGTAATGAGACCCTGTAGACCCTGTACTAGGTACATTAAAAAAAAAAAAAAGAGTGACAGTCATAACATAAATCACACAGGTGACCTTGGCTATTGGAAAGTTGGGAGTTCATTCTTAAACTTCAAGTAATCGTTATATGCCTTTACAAAGGAAAGAGGCATGATCCCATTTATATTTTAAAAAGACTCCTTTGTCTTCTGTAAGGAGTATGACTGAAAGAAAAAAGACAAGTTGGAGGCTTGATTATAGTTCAACTAAACCTAGCAGAATAGACTAGGGTAATAACTGGAGATACAGATTAAAAATATATTATGGAGTTAAAACTGAAGAGACTTGCTATGAGTTGACATGTAACTGAGGGAAAAGGAGGAAACCGATGTGGGTATTGGGTTTGTGGCTTAAAGAAATGATAGCTAACAGAGCAATTTAGGAACACTGAAGACAGTAGAGGAGGATTCAAGGTCTGTACAGGTAGTTGGTTGATTAGTTTACAAGTGAGGGTTTAGACAGGAGTTCCATTTGGGACCTGGGAAGTCTAGACATTCCTCTAGGTAAGAGCTTTCACATACAGGTATACAAGCCTGATGCTTAAACATAGAGAAAAAAGACAGTGTAGATACATAGAAAGGAAACATCTATCACCATCCAGAGTAAAAACAGCATTTTATTTTCGGTGACGAAAGGTACCTGTCTTTATTCGCTGTCATCAGTGGGTTGCATTGAAGTGAACATGTGCCTTCATCCTTAAGGACATGGCCTTATGTCCTAGGTCTTCCTGTTACATATTACTTTTACTGAAGTATGTTCACCTAATTTATACCAAAGATTTCACCACAATCTTCTTAGAAGCTTTATAACATCTTCTGCTCCAGGTAAGCAAATCATATTCATGAATCTACTTCCTTGAAGCTATCTGTCAGTTCTTAAATTTTAGGCTTGTTTGGTTGCTTGGAAACCTTATTTACCTGATGAACTTGAGAAAAGTTATGATTTCATAAATTACTGATCTTCTCCTGGTTGCTAGAGTGAAAATTTTGTTTTCTCCAACTTTTTGCATCCTAAACAGAAGTCTAGTCTATACATAAGAAATTTCAGGTGAACATTTGGCATTTCTACAAATCAAAATAAAGTCATTACAGAATATTTGTGGCATTATTGGCCTCAAGATGGTAATTGAAACAAAACAGGAATGGGTAAAATTACTGGGGATATCTGTGGACCTACTGTGACGCCTACAGCTCCTGTTGTGCCTTCACAAGCTTTTCTTTTCAGTTTCATCCTTTCACACTTTCTTTCCTGGGAAGACTGATGAGATGGTCTCGGTTCTTCTACAGATGGCCCATATGTGTGTTGTTCTTCCAAAACCATTATGGCAAATGTACGTAGTGAGCATTTGTGTTTCCTCCCACAGATATTCGAAGAGAATAACACTGTCAAAATAGCTCTAAGGGATTTGTCCTTGAACTTATATAAGGGGCAGATCACTGTTCTTCTAGGACCCAATGGGGCAGGCAAATCCACAACACTATCCATTCTCTCAGGTTGGTGTTCAGCGCCGTTCAAGAGTTGTTCTTTTTTTATTTTATTTTATTGAGAAACAAATATCAATGAGACACTTTCCAAGCTGATTAATAGGACATTTTCAACAATTAATACATTGCACATTGTTATCTTCAAGAGTTGTTCTCACCCAGAAACTGTAGCTAGAATAATAATATTTTTGTGTATCCTCTCATGTATTGAGTACAGTCATTACAGTGATGCATATAATGAGCCATTTTCCTTTTAAATTTGCAAATAATTGTAAAATTTTAAAACTATTATTTTGAGGAAGGAGGCATTATATTGATAAAAGACTAATACAACAAGAAGACAATAATTCATAAAGTATATGTATCAAACTGCAGAGCAAATGTAAAAACAGGCAAGACTCCAGAACAATAGGAGTAGCTTAGGACATAGGCTTGCTCTCGCCTCAGTAAACACACATATCCTCTTGGGATGTTTGACTAATAAGCAGGGTATGTGGCTGATGCACAGAGCCTGGCTACTTGAGAGGGTGAGGCCACAGGACTGCCTGTGCCCCCCCAGTTCAAAATCAGCCCAGGCAACGAAAGTGAGGCCCTGACTTTAAAGGGAAAAAAAGATTTCTAATTTATCAGGCTTTTAGTGATATTTCCCCTTTAAACTGAAGCAGTTACCTCAGGTCTGGACTTTCGTTTGAAGAGCTTCAGTCTGAGGCAGTGCACAGATTATGAAATAATCATGAATGCTTTCAAATGACTGGGATAATGCTGGCTGTCCTCACATTGCATCTCATGTTTTTATTGTTTTGCACTCATCCATACTCACTGAAAACTAGAATATTCAGTTAAACAAAAATACGAAATGAACTATATCTAATATCATTATCTTAAAAATAGCACTAGATATTTTCTGGAACTTTCTTCAGCATGACATACTTCTAATGCTAATGAGTAATCCACATATAGACTGCAAATCTGAAGTATTAGCGAGGAAGTTGTCCTCATGTTCCCTGACAATAGCCATTTTTATTTTATTTCCTGCTCAATTCTAGGTCTCTATCCTCCTACCAGTGGAAAGGCCTATGTCAATGGCTATGATATCTCACAGGATATGGACCAAATCAGGAAATCCTTTGGCATATGTCCCCAGCAGAACCTGTTGTTTGATTACTTGACAGTATCAGAGCACCTTTATTTTTTTTGCGTGGTGAGCCAGAGATATCTTCCTTTTCCCCAGTCTTACCACATACTCCAGGTAGATTACCAACTGTTAATACCTTTATTGTAGTAAGGTCCAAAGATGTATCTTAGTGAAATCTTCTTTAAATATAAAAAGAATCAAAGGGAATAAACCATTGCAAAATTTGTTAAAGTTGGTGTAAAATGTTTCCAAGAATAAAGCTGGAGGTATCATGTAAAACTCTGGCTCCTCTTTCTAGATCAAAGGAGTGCCTTACAAGAGCTGCTGGAAGGAAATTGGGCACATGCTATCAGCTTTCAAGCTGCTAGAAAAACAGACTGCATTTTCAAAGTCACTGAGTGGAGGAATGAAGCGCAAACTCGCCATCATTATCGCACTGATCGGGGGCTCCCAGGTAAGTACACAAGCTAAAAATGGAGCCTGCTGTGTGCTGTAGCCTGCCTGAACACAGCCAGCTCACACGAACTGAAGGCTTGCATGGATCCAACACTCATTAAGTGTGACTTCCAACATTGAAGCCAGATGGGGCTGGGCATGGGACTACATGTCTGTAATCCCAGCACTTGGGAGGCTGAGGCGAAAGAATCGCCCAGAGTTTGAGGCCAGTCTGGACTACGTAGTGAGCTCAAGGCCACCCTGAACTATGGAATAAGACCCTGTCTCAAAAAAATACCCAGAATAGGTGAGATTCAACCTCATTGGGATGAAATGGCCACAAGTTTAGAATGAGTCTGGAATTCCTGATTCAGTTGTCTAAATTCATTCTCTCTGCTTAGTTGACAAGGGACTGAAAAGGGAAAACAAGATAAAGCCTGTGGCGGGTAACACATGATCAGTGTCCTCATGGTCATAGAATTGTTCTTCTGGTTGTTAGGTGGTGATAATGGATGAGCCAACATCGGGCATGGACCCAGCCTCCAGGAGGGCCACCTGGGATCTCCTCCAGAGCTATAAGCAGGGCCGCACCATCCTGCTGACCACCCACTACATGGACGAAGCAGACGTGCTGGGGGACCGCATCGCCATCATGGTCAAGGGGTCCCTCAAGTGCTGCGGCTCTCCCATGTTCCTCAAGCGCTTATATGGTATCTCTCCTTTTGACTGGTCCTTAGGCTATTGATGCCTTAATAATATATTCATAATATAATTTCCAGTGTATTTTTAGATACCCAGAACTTCACTATTTTTCTCTATTCTTTCCATTAAGATTCAACTAGAAGTCCTTTGAGATGAGTGTTTTTTTCAAACTTCAAAATTGTTTCCTACTTTTATGTGTATTGTATTATTCAGTGCCCATACTCGTTTCTCCTGTATGTTTCTGATTAAGTTTGATTAATGCAGTTGTGCCCTTAATGAGGTAGGTAGATGCCCTTATCTCTGTCAAGCCACTATTAATTATTTTTTATTTTATGGAAAGAAAAACAATAGTTCATGAGAAAATAATAGAACACCGATAGTTAATGCATAGAAAATTGTTGTCTTTAGGGTAATTACTCAGAGTAAATGATAGCATAAAAATTCTCCAAATGATATCAGCACAAACCTTTTCAATTAACTAAGAAAAACTGTTAGTATACCTGTCATGTATTTTGTTTATTTTCTCATTCCTTCTTTTCCCTTTCCCCCAATCCTACTTCCTTTTTCCTTTTAAACAGTTTCTTCCCATTTCATAATATCTATGCTACATTTTGGATCTTATTTACTGTTTGTCATACTAAGGAGACAATGCGATGTTCACACATGTGATTTTTATTTATTTCATTGAAGAGTATGATCTCTACTTGTATCTGTTTACCTATAAAAGTTTCCAGTTTATTCTTCTTTATGGACGACTAGTACTCCATTGTATTAAAAGACCGTATCTTTCTTATCCATTCCTTAGTTGATGGACATCTGGATTGTTTCCAAGATGTAGCTATTACAAATTGTTCTGCTATAAATATGTGTGTATGTATATGTTGTGATATGATGCTTTTAATTCTATCTGGAAGATACCCTGAAAGAAAATAGCTGGGTCTATTGGGGCCTCTGATCCTAGTTGTTTTCAGCGGTCTCCACACTGATTTCCACAGTGGTTGCACCAGTTTACACTCCAACCAACAGTAGAGAAGGGTTCCTTTTTCCCCACAGCCTCTCCAGCATTTGGGTTTATTATTTTAATTATAATGGATTTATTATCATTTTGATAATAAAAGGTTTATTGGTTGATTTCTTGATGAAAGCCATTCTTTTTGGATTGAGATAAAATCTTAGTGTTGTCTTAATTTGCTTCTCTCAAATAGTAACAAGTGATGTTGAACATTTTTTCACTTATTTATTTGCCATTTCTAGTTTTTGATCTGAGAAGTGTTATTTATCTCAGATGCTTATTTGGGAGTTGGGTCTTTGAATTTGAGGCAGGAGAGGTCTGATTTTTTCCAATTTTCTACATGTTCTAGATACAAATTCTATGTTTGAGGAACTACTGGCTAAAATTTTCCCCATTCTGTGGGTTGTCTTTTCACTGTGTTGGTGATTTCTTTTGATGTGTAAAAACTTTTTAACAAGCTGAGATCTCAGTTGTTGATTCTTTGAAGTACTTTCCTTGCAGTATGGGTTTTATTTGTGAACTCTCTGCCTACTCCTGTTGTCTTCTAAAGTTTTACCTACTTTCTCTTCTAGTTCACTTAGTGTTTCTGTTGTAATATTTAGGTCTTTGATCCATTTTGATTTTAGTTTAGTACATGGTCTCATTTTATTCTTTAGTATGTGGAGGGCCAGTTTTTCTAGCCCTGTTTAGTAAAAAGACTCTTTCTTGAAGTGAACATGTTTGGCCTCTTTGTCAAAAATAAAGTGGTTGAGTGTGTTTATAGTTGTGTCTGGATCTTCTAATCTGTTTCATTGATCCTCAGGTCTGTCTGTTTTTATTGTTTTTTGGGGGGGTTATTTTTTTTTCTACCAGGACCTTGCTGATTTTATCAAAGTAACTTTGTAGTAAAATTTGGACTTTTGTGTGTGTGTGTGTGTGTGTGTGTGTGTGTGTGTGTGTGTATGTGTGTGTGGTATCAAACTTTTCTTTTCTATTTAGTACAGGATCTACAAGGTCTCACTACACAGATCGGACTCATAGTGATCCTCTTGTTTTCAACTTCCCAAGGACTGGGATTATAGATGCACACCACCACACCCAGTCTCAGTCCCACTCAGTGTGCCCCAGGGCTGGGGCCAGCATGGCATGTGGTGTCAGGGATCAAACCCCAGACTCTGTGCTTAGGCAGGCATGTAGTATAATTTTAAATCAGGGATTGTGATGCCACCTGCCTCTGCCTTGCCCCATATTGCTTTTACTATTCTAGGTCTCCTGGTTCCAAATGAATTTTAGGGATGTTTTCTCTAGATCTGTGAGGTATGCTAATGGTATTTTGATCAGAATTTCATTAAATCTGTGTAACAATATGGGGAGTATGCAGGCCACTATTATAGAGTCAATAGAATCAGTTTTAGAGCTAATTCTAGAATATGTGATAGCTTTGTTTAGAGACTGCTTATCACCATCTTCAAATGTTTTAGGAGTAGGATTAGAATTTTGCTATCCATATGTGGAGCTCTCTTTAAGCTGCCCTCCAGCTGCTGGTACCTCCTTGGTCTCTGTCCTTGCAGTTATTATTTTAACTATAATGGATTTATTATCATTTTAATAATAAAAGGTTTAAAAGTAGCTTTGAAATACTTCATGCTCTTATTTTAAAAGAAAAAATTAATAATACTGTAAGGAGTAACAATAAACAGAATTTCAGAACAGGTTAGTAGGAGAGTTACAATAATTAATACATTGTATATTATTGTCTTCATGGTAGATTTTTAGAGTACAAAATGTAGGCATGATGTCTTGTCCAAGCACTAGTAGCACAAACCCTTCTTTTCAGTGAAGTAGAGAAACCAGCTGTATAGCTGCCTTAACTATCTTGTCTACGCACATTGTTTTCTTTTCCCCTTTCCCCTTCCCCTTTTCCCCACCAGTTTGTCTTTTCTCTTGGACAGTCTCTTCCCAGCTCACTCCCAGCTCTTCCCAGTTGTGTGTTTTGTGCTTTATTTACTCGCACGATTTCCCACACCAGTGTGAAAATACACTGTTTACACATATGGGTGTGATCTATTTCACTTGTGAGTATGGTTTCAAGTTGTATGCTTTATTGATAACAGTCTCACTGGGTAATATTGTATTATACATAAAAATCTCATATTCTTATCAATTCCTCAGTTGATGGACATTTGGGCTGTTTCCAAGGTTTAGCTATTACAAATTGTGTTGCTATAAATATGGGTGCACATATATCAATGTGGTATGATGTTTTTAATTCTTTTCAGATGATACCTAGGAAGAGAATAGCTGAATTGAATGGAATCTCAAGTCCTAGTTCTTTAAGAAATCTGCTCACTGATTTCCACAGTGGCCTTGCAGTAATTTTATTTTCCTTACACGATTTCCACGTACCCTGTTGCTCTTCCCCAGACCCTCAAAGGCCTGTTGTCATGTGAAGGACAGACACACGCTCATAGTTTTAGTGTGAAAATATTACAGCAATTACCCCTAGCTTCTCATGCACCTAGTGAAGATACAAAATACTATGCAGAGATTTCCCAGGTCTTTTTTCTCAGATATTTAAATGAAAAATATTTTTATCTGCTTTATTAACTCCCTGGATCATAATATGCACCAAATAAGTAATGGTTTAATGAATATTAACCTTGTCTTCTTAGATGTCAGTATCAATAAGAAGAAAAGCAAAAAACGGAGGCTTTTTATCCTCCCTCTGCTCTGTCTGGTTGTATAATCCTTATTATTGTTAGTCCCCATGAAAACTCAGAAAGTTATTTAAGAGTGTTTACTTGGCCCCTTAGAATTATAGTCAAATGATCTGCAATATGCTCTGTCTGCTATTCAGCTCATCAGAACCATGAAAAGCCAAGTATATTCTTACAAGTGTGTGAGAAGTACAAGATTGTTTTTTCTGTTCTCTTAACAAATTTCTCTTAGGTGTGGGATACCACATAGTCATGGTGAAAGCACCTCACTGTGATGTTGAAGAAATCTCAAAATTGATTCATCATTATGTACCAACAGCCACTTTGGAAAGCAACGTTGGCACTGAGTTATCATTTATTCTACCCAAAGAATACACTGACAGGTATGGATTTAGAGAATCCTGAATGGTTGACATTTAGGTAACCACAAATAATTGTTGTTTTTCCTGGTTTCTTCAGGAAAACACATAGAGTTTATTTAAGAGAACAAATCTCCTGTTGTTGCTGTCAGTTGTACCAAAGAGAGATGTCACCTGTGTTCTTTGATAAAAAATGGGTGGTATACTGTTGGTAGAATAAAAATTGCTCCTAATGAGTGAAATTAAAGGAAATATTAAAATGACTAGAAACAAATAGGGTGGTGCAAGGACCCTGGTTCGATCCCCAGTACCACGTGCCACACCTGCCCTGCCCTGGGCGCACCTAGCTGGGCACCAAGACTGTGGGTGGTGGCGCACACCTGTAATCCCAGTGATGGAGAGGTAAGACAGGAGGATCGCTATGAGTCTGAGCTGTGTAGTGAGACCCTGTACCAAATACATAAAATTTTTTTTAAAAAGTGAAGAAAGGAACCTTTGCATACTGTAGAACAAAAATACAAATTAGTACAGCCATGGTGGGAAATATGGAGTTTCCAAAATTAAATTTAAAAAACTATTAGCATGTGATATATATATATACAAATTTGTACCAGGGATCAAATTCAGGACCTTGCAGTTGCCAGGCAGGCACTTAAGCCACCAAACCATCTCTCCAGTCCTCCTCAATATACTTTTAAAGGAAAGGAAATCCATATGTTGAAACATCAGCAGGGACAGGGAGATAGGTCAGTGGCATAAGCACATGTCCAGCAAGCGCAAGGTCTTGAGTTCAAACCTGGTACCAAACCAAACAAAAAACACCCCCAAGAGACACCAGCAAACCCATGTTTAAGGTTTGTTTGTTTTTTTGTTTGTTTGTTTTTGCGATACCAGGGATTGAACTTAGGACCCTGCACTTGTAGGCAGGCACTTTTTCTACTGAACTATCTCCCCAGTCCCCTACACACCCATGTTTATTGTAGCACTCTTGACAATACTAAAATAACAGAATCAAAATCAACCTGAGTATCCATTGAAACATGACTGGATAAGAAAAAATGGCACAGGGCCAGCAAGATAGCTTAGCAGTGTGTGATAGCTTAGTCACTGGCGTGATGGGCTTGCTGAGCTGGTCACTGAGACTGCATGTGGTGTCACATGTCTATAATCCCAGCACTAGGGAGGCTGGAAATAGGAGGATCACTATAAATCCGAGTTGCATAGTGAGACCCTGTGCCAAAAAAATACATTAAAAAATTTTAAGGGCTAGGGAGATAGCTCAGTAGAATAAATGCCTGCCTGGCAAGCTCAGGGTCCTGAGTTTAATCCCCAGTACCAGCAAGAAAGAAAGAAAGAAAGAAAGAAAGAAAGAAAGAAAGAAAGAAAGAAAGAAAGAAAGAAAGAAAGAAAGAAAGAAAGAAAGAAAGA